AAAATGATTAGGGGTCTGGAACACATGAGTTATGAGGAGAGGCTGAGGGAGCTGGGATTGTTTAGCCTGCAGAAGAGAAGAATGAGGGGGGATTTGATAGCTGCTTTCAACTACCTGAAAGGGGGTTCCAAAGAGGATGGCTCTAGACTGTTCTCAATGGTAGCAGATGACAGAACGAGGAGTAATGGTCTCAAGCTGCAGTGGGGGAGGTTTAGATTGGATATTAGGAAAAAAATTTTTCACTAAGAGGGTGGTGAAACACTGGAATGCGTTACCTAGGGAGGTGGTAGAATCTCCTTCCTTAGAGGTTTTTAAGGTCAGGCTTGACAAAGCCCTGGCTGGGATGATTTAACTGGGAATTGGTCCTGCTTCGAGCAGGGGGTTGGACTAGATGACCTTCTGGGGTCCCTTCCAACCCTTATATTCTATGATTCTATCTTGCCTGCCCTACCATTCATCCCTTTCCCCTTCGCTGCAATCCGAAACCCTCCTTTCCCCCACTCCTCCATTCCCTAATTACCCCTCCCTTCCTAGGAAGCCTTCACAGTAGCAGAGAAAGATATAACATGACCAAATAACTGGATGTTGAAGCTAGACAAATTCAGACTGGAAATAAGGTGTACATTTTTGACAGTGAAGGTAAATAACCATTGGAACAATTTACCAAGGGTCATGGTGGATTCTCCATTACTGACAATTTTTAACTCAAGATGGGATTTTTTCTAAAAGATCCGCTCTAGGAATTATTATGAGGCAGTCCTGTGGCCTGTGTGTTATTACAGGAGGTCAGACTAGATGATCACAATGGTTCCTTCTGGCTTTGGAATCTAAGAATCTATTAAACATGTCTAGTTCTCCCTCCCCCCACCAAATACTGTGTTTACGTTGCCTCCAAAATAAAACTGCAACCCACAATTCTCAAATTGTAGCCGATTTCCAGCCACTCAGTCCAAACCTCCTTTTGTCTTCAGTGAGAGCTCATGTATAACTTATCTTTTGTTATGTTAACTGAAGCATGAGTTCAAAAGTATCAAGGACTAGTTCACAATCATCATGTTCAAGGAGGTCTGTGATACATCCAGTGATCAGCACCTCTCAGTTTAACAGTACAAGGCAGCAGAAGGAGAATGAAGGTAACTTACCTGTAATTGAAGGTTTTTCAAGATATGTGGTCCCTATCTATATTCCATATGTATGCATGCACTCCATGTGCCTGAGTCCAGAGACTTTCAGTAAGCAGTGTCCATTGGACTACACATGTGCAGTTGTTCTCCTGGTGCTCCAAACTGAGGGCACTAAGAGGAGTTGCAGACCAATGCTTCTCCACTTCCTTTTCTTACCATGAATTTGGTCAAAATCGGCAGCAGAGGGGCTGAGGGTAAATAGTAGATCACAGATAGGGACCACACATATCAAAGAACCTCCAGTTACATGAAAGTAACCTCCATTTCTTCTTCAAGGGCTGGTCCTTATTCCACCTTTGAGAGATTAGTAAGCAGTAGTCAAACAGCAGATGGGTGCAAGGATGTAGATGGTATGGGCATTTGTAGTACTGATGATCGCACAGCTGTATCTGCAGTAGAAGTCTAGACCAATGCATAATGTCTTCTAAAGGTGTGTATGGAGCTCCAGGTAGCCACCCTACATATATCTAGTAAGGGTATGTCTCTCAGAAATGCTGCAGAGGTTGCTTGCACTCTTTTGGAATGGGTGCTCACACTCGGGTTGGGGGTAGAGTGTGAGCTAGTTGGTAACAAAGGATGATGCAGCCCAAGATCCACTTAGAGAGCTTCTGTGCAGATAGAGCTTGATGCCTTGATCACTCTGCTATGGTGATTTTAAAAATTTGGTATTTTTCTAATTGCTTTTGTTCTCTGTAGATAAAATGTCACTGCCTGTCGGAGTGAAGAAAAATACAGAGTGAAGAAAAATACCACTAAGAGGATGATTTGATTTACGTGAAACTCCGAAATTACTTTAGGGATGAATTTTGGGTGGAAGCAAAGAGAGACCTTCCCTTTATGAAAGATGGTATATGGCAGAGCTGCCATGAATGCCCCCACCTCTCTCACCCCACTAGCTGATGTGATGGAGACGAGGAAGGCTACTTTCATCAAGAGATGGGACATAGCTAATGGTTCTAAGGGAGGTTTGCTGAGAACTGAAAGGATGTGATTGAGATTCCAGACAGGTTGAAATGGTCAAGAGGCCCAAGAACCAGGATTGTTTCGGCCTGCTGGGTGAAATAAGGATGACCGGAGCCCTGTTTTGATGGATCATTGGCAGGACTTGTGGTATTAGTGGGATGAGAGGGAAGGCATATCTGAGGTGGTCCATCCAGGATAGCAGCAGAGCATCGCCCTTTGAGCTGCAGCCCAGAGCTTTTCTGGAGCACTACAGGGGAACTTCTTGTTCACCTGTGAGGCAAAGAGATTCCAAAATGGTGCTCCCCATTGGGTGAAGATCTAGTTCAGAAAGAAATCATGAATCTCCCATTCATGGTCTGTTGAAAAATATCTGCTGAGACTGTCTGCTAGGGAGTTCTGTGCACCTGGCGGGTATACTGCAGATAGGCTTATGTGATTTCTGATTTGCCAGTTCCAGAGGTCCAGTGTCTTTACACACAGGGAGAGGGATCTTTTCCTCATGTGCTTGTTTATGTAGAAGACAGTTGACATAATGTTGGACATTACCTGGATGTGTTGGGATTGGATGAGCGGAATGAAAGTGTTTGCAGGCCCTACAGACTGACCTTAATTCCAGAAAGTTGATGTGCAAGCTGACCTCCTGAGGGGTCCAGATGCATTATGCAGTGTGATTGTTGAAAAGGGCTCCTCAGCCTAAGAGGGGAGAATCTGTGATGACAGTCATCTTGGGTATTGGTGGGAGGAAAGGAAGTCCCACCCAAACTTCTTCTGGGTATGTCCATCAAACAAGAGAGGCCATAACGATGGCTGGAATTGTTACTCTGGCATTGACAGTTGTCTTTGTCTGGTGAGTAGACAGAGTGAAGCCAGGTTCACAGGCAACAGAGATAAAGCGTGGCAAATGGTGATATGTAGGTGCATGAGGCCATGTGCCCTAGGAGGGAAAGACCGATCCTGACAGTAGTCCAAGGTCACTCATGGCATGCAATCTCTTCATGGAAAGATAAGCTCTTGCTGTAGTGGAATGCAGTGTTCCTTCTGTGAAGTCTATGGACCTCGTGGGGGTCAAAGTGGACTTCTCATTGTTGACACAGACTCCCTGGGAAGACAGTAGACAGAACAGGAATAGGGTCACTGACTGGACTTCTCTGCTGAACCTGCCTGTCAGGAGCCAGTCGTTGTCATATGGAAAGACAGTAAGCCATTTCTTTTCATCCAAGCCACCACCACTGAAAGCACTTTTGTAAAGACCCTGGGTGCTGTAGCTAGTCCGAATGGGAGGACTGTGAGTTGTTAGTGGTCTTGTCCAATGAGGAACCTTCTGTGTGATAGATAAATGTCTATATGAACATAAGCATCTTACATGTCAAGAGCCACAAACCATGTGCCCTATTCCAGAGAGGGGATTATTGATGCCAATGTGACCAGGCAGAATTTTGATTTTCAGATAAATACATTTAGTTGGTGTAGATCAAGAATCAGTCTCCATCCCCCATTCTTTTGGGGGACCAAGAAATATGTGGAGTAGAATCCCTTCCCTTGATGTTGGGATGCAACTGGTTACAAGTATATCCTGATTCTGGTATGTACATCCTGGTTCATCAAAAAATGTCATGTAAGGTATCAAAGGAAAGTTAGTGTAACACATTTGTGAGTAGCACTGCAAAATTATGTACCTCTCATCTCAGGAGTTATGTATCTATATTGGAAAGATGTTCTTATAGTTTGTATCTAAGTGCTAACCCCAGCAGAGGTGAAAAACTGATTTCCTGCCAGATGAGAGATGTTTGTCCATCTATCTGTTGAAATGTAAATCTAGTATTTTCTCATCCACAATCAATCACCAGTCTGAGCTAAATGCAGATGAAGAATAGTGAGATTTAACAGAAAGAGACCAGAGAAGGAAAGAGCCTTTGGGGGTTAGGGGGGGCACTTCAAAGGTTTATTGGACTATAAATGGATGACAAGGAAAGCACCCTAGTCTTCTTGCATCTAGGAAGTAAACTGAGAGCACGTTTATATTCATGAAAATGGGATCTCAACCAAGCTTGGTTGAAAATGCTACAAAGGACATTTAGGATGAGCTAAACTTATTTAGCCTGGAGATTAGTCTGTTAAATTTAGTCTCACAAAGCGTGTTATACTTGTGTTTTATAAGTAACCAGTTGCTTTCATTATCCTTACTCACTATGTCTTAAATCTTGATCTTGGATAATAAACTTATGATAGGTTTCAGAGTAACAGCCGTGTTAGTCTGTATTCGCAAAAAGAAAAGGAGTACTTGTAGCACCTTAGAGACTAACCAATTTATTTGAGCATGAGCTTTCGTGAGCTACAGCTCACTTCATCAGATGTATACCGTGGAAACTGCAGCAGACTTTATATACACACAGAGATCATGAAACAATACCTCCTCCCACCCTTACCAGCAGGACAGTGGTAGTGAAGCAAAAGCAAGTGTCCCTCTCACTGGAGGCAGAAGGTAACAAGATGACTCAGCCTTAGGCACCCTGAGAACCATCACAACCGTACACCACCACTACCACCCAGACTGGCCATCAGCACTCAAGGACTGACTGCCTTATGTTCATCTATGAGCATTGGTTCAGGGATAATAAACTTAACCCTGCTCTGAAGCATGGTGGAAGTCTGTCACTGGCTAAAGCTGACTTTGTACAGATTTAATGTGCACTGCTAAGAAAATGCCTAGCAGTTCCCAGATGTATAAACATTACTAGCGTGAAACCTTAACATAAAACAAGACAGACCAGACAATAAGAGATCTGAATATCGGAAGCCAGTGATTGCTATTGTGCAGCACATGAGATTCAAGGTCTTTGTTGATGTTATTACCTGGTCAGCGTGGGGTAAGTTGAAGAATATCCATCATTAGCAGAATTAATCAGCTCTGGGACCCCAACACTGGAGATGTCTTCCACAGCTTTCAAGATGTTGTCTGTGTGCTCCATATATACACTGAACCCAAACATCAGGATAACAAGTCAGTACATGTTATGCAGGGGCAGGACAGTAGCTTCCATTACAAATCCCATTCCTGACTTCCCTCTAGCCAAACTGAGTTACATGTCATTGAAAATCATTGACTTGAACCTGTGCCTTTCTCCCTTTTTCTCTAGCTCATCAGCAGCTGGTTATAGTCTCCCCTGCCACAACCTTCCAGAGAGTTAGAACTCCTTAAACTGACATGGCAGCTACACCTGAAGAAATAGGTTGCAATTAAGCAAAAATATTGACAATTATCTGTTGTGGTTAGTTTTCCGTCAGTCCTGCTCCCACTGATCTCAATTAGAGCTTTTTACCATTGTCTTTAATAGAAGCAGAATCAGACACTATACTGTAGCCCCTTTACACTGCCAGAATGCATATATACACATGCACACACACACACGCATGTGTGTTGGACTGTATTGACAAATTCGGTGTAGAAAAAACAGAAGGCTTGGGGGTCTTTCTATAGCCGAGGTCTAACAGAGTTTTTCCTTTAACTCAAGTGGTAGAGGTTTGTGTTTCTGGAACTATAGGTACAGAGTTCTAGGCCTGGCTCCGCAGGTGTATGATCTAATGCAGAGAGGTGGATCATAGAATCATAGACTATCAGGGTTGGAAGGGACCTCAGGAGGTCATCTAGTCCAACCCCCTGCTCAAAGCAGGACCAATCCCCAATTTTTGCCCCAGATCCCAAATGGCCCCCTCAAGGATTGAACTCACAACCCTGGGTTTAGCAGGCCAATGCTCAAACCACTGAGCTATCCCTCCCCCCGATGCCTCTTCATATTTAAGGTTGCAACTGTGGTATCAATATAAGGCTGATTTTGATCCCCTGCTAACTAAAAATAAAATTCTTCATACTTTCAGATTTGTAGGTGCAGTTTCACAGACATCTTGAGAAAGCTTTGATGATATTGATTAACATCCTTTTGAAAGTAAAAGATTTTTAAATGGCTGCTTTTGAAACTGCATTTTCCAATAAGTAGTTGCACAAACATCAGTTTCCAGACACAGTTTGCACATCCTGTAGGATTACTGTTCGCTTCCTGTCTTATTTGTCTTAGGAGGAAAAAAATAAGGTTATGAAAACTATTCCAATCTGTTTTTCAAGAACTGTTTATATTTTTTCCTGTTCCCCACGCCTGACAAGGCTTTCTGGAGAAGCATTTCAGCACATTGTGCACTGGATACTCTTAAAGAACCCCTTGGTTTGATCTAGCCAGAATACCTTAACAGAAACTGAGACTAAAGCTGTTTATGAAGAGAGTTTGCTCTCAGAAACCAAGTTACTGCAGCAGAAGCAAAGCATTCTTACCAGACCAGAGTGTGCAGTGCATCACTGAACTGGCTACCCTTCTCTCGCATGCCACTAGGCTGCATCCACGACTGGCAGAGGAACTGCTTAGCAAGTGAAGCTGTCAAAGATAAGCAATAAAATGAGGAGGGGCCTGGATGTGTTTTGTCTCACTGAGAATACAAGCATCCAAGATAATTTTCTTCTCCCTCATACAAATGCAGGATAGCCGAATGCTTCTGGCTAATTACAATGTAATTCCACTTCAAGCAGATACTATGTTCTCCATACAGGTGCCTGCCAAAGTGCTAAAGCTGAGGGAGTTGGGAAAGGCGTTTTCCTTAGAGATCATTACTCACCACACTAATGAGATTTATATACAAGTCTAGTGAGCTCTTGGCCTGTACAGTGGTTCTTACTGGAGTCATTCTCTCTTTGTCCATTCATGTCTGACAATGCTACAATGGGTTTCCTTTCCTTCCTCTGGTCTGTGGAGCCAGAGATCAGTTTTTCCCTGCTGCAGGGGCTAAGTGTCACCCCCTTGGGAAACCAGAAATGAGGTTTTCCAAAGCTGATATACAAGTATTAACTCAAATGTTAGTGCACCGGTGACAGGTGAACTTTCCCTTTGGCCACAGCATTTTCATATTAATTTGAACTGGCAAATTTACAGTTTAGAATTTTGTAATCAGAAATAATTGTTTTCCTCCAAAGGCTGCATCTGCTTCTCTGACATAAATGGCCAAAGAAAATAAATGATCAGGTAAGAGTAAATTTTTCATCGTTATTCCTATTGTTAGGGGACTATAGAGCCCACACGCAGGCCGCACCCTGAGATGCTCCCATGTCTCCGGGGTGAGCCACCTTTACCCTTTCTTGTTTTTTAATGTTTATCTTTTAGTATGTGTTCACGTTTTCTAGCAGTAAGGGAAGCCATGGTTGGGGCATGTCTGGACATGCTGGGTATGTGCCTGTCACAGGGCGCATGAGTAGCCTAGAGTATAGATGAGTGTGTTAAGAGCTTCTCTGTGTGGTGTGTAGTGCACTAGTGACATACTCTAGACAGAGAAACAGATTCATCCGACTGCAGTTGGTATGCCTGGCTGGACCATCCAGCAGGGAGTGAGATTTTACTTACTTGCAGTATTGTAGCCTAGGATCATATAGTTAGGTCCTATTGTAATTTTCAATAACTTGTTAAAACCTGCTGAGTGTCTCTCAAACTTGACTGAATTGCTCTGGGGGAAGGGCAATTTGTAACACTATCCAGGGCAGACAGTTCACCCCTACATTCTCTCCCTGGGATGAAGTAACTGTGTATAATTCTGACTAGTTTTGTGGATCTGAGACACCGCTAGAATGCAACACTTTACAGAGAGGAGCCTGCAAACTTGCACTCTTAGCTTTAGCTGTATCTGGTGAACATGGGAAATGAAGGCCAGCAAGTTTCCTTGCATATTCCTTGCAAGAAGATCTCTCAGCCCATGTGGCTACTGTCCCCGTTAGCAAGTGAACTCTAATCAGCTTGCAAGAGCTGCTCCTCTTGCTTTATTAGGACTTGTCTATAGTTTTTCTAACACTTTACTGTATAGTGTCAGGAACAGAAATAGTTAAAGTGGAACATCCCAATTGGGATGCACTTATACCACTATAGTTTATTCTCGTTAATGTATGTGAATAAGCTATACTGTTACAAGCACCTTTATAGTGGTACAATTGTGCCGACTCCAGTGGTTGTACCAATTTACTTTTATCAGTAAAATTACCCCCCTAACCAAAATAGTTCAGTCAGGATTAAAACTGTGTGCAGAATTAGGCTTAAGTTACACGCTTCTTCTCAGCCATCTTGCCTTTCAGCCATCATTTCTCCTTACTGAAGAATGATTAAAAAACCAAAAAACTAATAGAACTGTACACTGTTTTCTTGTGTGACTGACATATAATAAAGCAGGTGGTAAAGAGCTTCCAATACATTTAGTGTTATTCATGTTAGCAAGTTTTCTAGACTGCCTGGTGAGAAGCCAAAGCATTACAGATAAAGGATAGCCAAAGCATTACAGATAAAGAACCTGTCCAGGAAAAGAGGTTCTGCACACATTACCTATTTTATCTTTTTTCCAACTGGCCACAGGTTTTTCAGCAATGACAATCAGGAGCTGAATGAGGGTAAGTGCACACTGGAAATTGGGAATGCTGTGCTGGAAATTCAGCAAGTAGTGAAAACTCTCGCTGTGGGTGACAGGAAAGAAAAGGGATGAAGACATTGCAGATATGTCACATATATACACAGAAAGAGAGGAAGTGCCAGCCCAGATCAGACCCTGAGATCCTGCTAGCCTGGCATTCTGTCTCCAATGGTGATCAGCACCAGATGCCTCAATACAGTAACTCCTCACTTAAGGTTGTAGTTGTGTTCCTGAAAAACGCTATTTTAAGCGAAACAATGTTAAGCGAATCCAATTTCCCCATAAGAATTAATGTAAATGGGGGGGTTAGGTTCCAGGGAAATGTTTTTCACTAGACAAAAGATTATATATATATATATATATATATATATAAATAATACACACACACACAAATATAAGTTTTAAACAAACAATTTAGTACTGTACACAGCAATGATGATTGTGAAGCTTGGTTGAGGTGGTGAAGTCAGAGGGTGGAAAAGGGTGGGATATTTCCCAGGGAATGCCTTACTGCTAAATGATGAACTAGCACTCGGCTGCGCCCTCAAAGGTTAACACATGTTGTTAATGTAGCCTCACACTCTACAAGGCAGCACAAATGGAGGAAGAGGAGACAGCATGGCAGAGAGAGACAGAGACACACACCTCGCGTGTGTGTGTGTGAGAGAGAGACAGACAGACAGACACACACACCATGTGTGTGTGAGAGAGAGAGAGACGCACATTGCCCCTTTAAGTACGTTGATCCCACTCTAAGTACACTGCCTTTTAAAGTAGATCAGCAAGTTGACAGCAGCTGCTGCCAGCAAGCTCCCTCCATCCTGAGCCCTGTCATGTTGTTCTCCCCCCCCACCCCCACCCCACTCTGTGGAGATGGGGTAAAGGGGCAGGAGCGGGGGGGAGGGGGACACCCTGACATTAGCACTGCTCTTCCCCTCCCTTCACAGCAAGCAGGAGGCTCCTGGAAGCAGCTCCAAGGCAGAGGGCAGGAGCAGCACACAGCAGTGGTGGGAGGGACAGCTGAACTGCCCGGCAATTGATAGCCTGCTGGGTGGCTGCCGCACAGGGAACTTAGGGGAGCTGATGGGGGACTGCCGCCCCACCCTGGTTCCAAGCCCCCACCAGCTAGCTCCAATGGGCTGCTCTTTCTGCAAGCAGTGGACAAAGCAGGCAGTTGCCAAACAACGTTATAAGGGAGCATTGCCCAACTTTAAATGAGCATGTTCTCTAATTGATCAGCAACATAACAATGAAATGTTAACCGGGACAACGTTAAGTGAGGAGTTACAGTACTGGAAAAACCTGAAAAAAAAGAAGCTTCTGTCTAACCTCAGACAGTTTGAGGTTGACTTGGGCATGGGGATTGCGACTATTTTTATCTTATGTTACTGTGGATGTTCTCCCATATAAATGTTTATTCCTTTTGCTGAATCCTACTACTCTCCTTGTCTCAACGGTATCCAGTTGCAATGAGTTCCACAAGCAAATGATATCATGTAAAACGTACTTACTTTTTATCATTTCAAATGTGTTGACTTTTACATTAATTGAATGTCCCCCTTGTTCTTGTATAATAAGATCTTGTATAATGATAGCACCTGATCTACCTTCCCTTCTCTATCCCATACCTCTATCATGTTCTCTCTCTTTCATCTCCTTGCTAAGCAAAACAGACCAAGCCTTCTCAGTATCACTAGATTCTAATCATTCTCATGACGTGCTTCTGAACTCCTTCTATTTCTGCTATATCCCTTTGAGATGGAGAGACTAAAACTGAATGCAGTATTTTCAAATGAGGGTGTCCCTTTGATTTTTAGAGCCAGAGTCTCTAACACTGCGAGACACAAAGGGGTCAGATTCTCACCATACAGTACTCAACAGAGAATTCCCCTGATGGAATGGAGCTTCTTGCTGGCATAAGGCTGGCAGAGCTGGCCAACTGCCCCATCTTATCTCAGTATAAGGAGCATGCTGGGGGCAGAGAGGGGATGCTCTGGTACACTATGCCACTTCTCTACTCATGTTAAGTCATACTGAGACCTTATGTCAGAGGTGTAAGTTAGAGCAGTCTAAGGGCTGCTCTAACTAATGCTGGGGCATAGATTAACAGAATAGGGGCGCCATTACTGTCTTCTGGACAGCCACACTTTAATGTCCAGTAGACCTTGCATGCAAAAGAGAATTTGGCCCATTTGATGCAATGGAAAAATTCTTACTGATCATTTCCTTTCTGCAAACAGTGTCTCCCACAATTCTGTAAGTCTGAGGTGCTCTCCTTTCTCAGCAGCTCAGAGAGGTGGATCAGCAGAGTTTAAGCACCTTCTGGTCTGGCCACACCTCTTCTGTTCCCGCATGCCACCAGATGAATTATTCCCAAACTGTGAAACATGTATAACATCATTAACAAATATTCCAGAGATAACAAAATAACTATGTATATTAGACCAAGAAAGACAGTCCTGTGGTAATGATTCCACTTAGTATCTGACTCCAACTCATGAGCCATCCAGGGTGGGTAGAATCGTGGGAGACACTGTTTGCAGGAAGAAAATTATCGCTACAAAATTTTCTGTTCCATGGTTCAGTGTCTCCCACAATTCTGGATATCTGAGAAGTAGAGAGTAGTGATAAGATATAGGGAGAGTTATGAAACAAGAGTTTGGCAGAAAAGACACACCCTCTTTTTATGAGCTCACTCAAAGGTCTATATTAGTTCTGGGCCACTGCCTGCAGCATCTTCCTGCCAAAGGAGGCCTCTGCGGAAGACAGAAAATCCATCTTGTAGTGCTTAATGAAGGTGTTAGCTGTACACCAAGTGCTTGCTTTGCAAATTTCCGAAGTGGATGTGGTGACAGTGGATACTGTGTTCACACCCTACACACTACTGTAATGATGTTTGTACAAGGTATGCCTTGTGAGTCTCATCTGAAAACCCATAACTTGCACATACAAGGGCAAACTGCACATAGCAACATTATATGTAAAGTTATGTGTATAAACTGAAATCATGACTGAAGTATATTTCCCCAGAGAAGTCTAGGGAGTGGCTAAACCAGTTCCTCAGAGACAAAGGGCAAGCTGATGCCTCAGCCTGATCAGTCAACAAACCCAATGGACATTACCTGCTAAGTGGCCATTCTTTGGCAAGGAAGGGAGCAGGGACAAAAATCTAAATCTTAGCAAAGAAACAACATGGAGTTTCCTTTCTTCACCAGACTGCCTGTCGCCTTGCTCCCAGTTGCAAATGCTTCTCAAATGAGGACAGGACTATAAAAGGAACGGGCAGACACCCCCAAGAGACCCTTCTTTCTCTCCCTGTCTGTCTCTGGCATTGCCCCTAAGAAGACAAAGGAAAACAGCCATTGGACTCTGGGAGTGGGTCCTGAGAGTTTGGTCAGTATCTGCTGGAGTATGTGGTAAAAAACTTTTCTTGGATCTAATACAGTTTGTTAAGTTAAGCATTAGTAAACATTTTCTTTTCTTTTTTTTGCAACCATTTCTGATTTGTATGCCTCATATATATCACTTAAAATCTCTCTCTGTGTATTTAATAAACTTGTTTTACTGTTTTCTCTAATCCAGTGTGTTTCATTTGGGGTGTCTGGGTACTCTATTTAAAATCATAAACTGGCATACTATTCCCTTAAAGGAATAAAGGACTTAATATATTTGTACTGTTCAGGAAAGGGCTGGGCAGCACAGGGCATAAATTTCTGGGGGAAGATCTGGGATTGCGGGTGTGTTGGGGTCACCCTGCAGCATAACTCAGGCTGGTAAGGGCCAAGTTGTGGCTGGCTGGCTGCAGCACACAGACATGGCTGGGAGTGACTTACATGCTGGAGGCTGTTTGTGAGCAGTCCAGGTTGGAAGCTACAGCAGTAAGGCATTGCAAAGGGCATCCCAGGTTACAGGGCAGTGGTTACACAGCTACTCATTAGTGTAGATTGTGCCCTGGTATGTCATGGATGCTAAGGAGGATGCTAAGGATCTCATGGAGTGCACCTTGATCCCTTCTGGAACAGGAACCTTTGATGATTTGTAGGCTTCCATAATACATAGTCTAATCTACCTAGCAATGGAGGCATTTTGGATGGAAGACATGAATATAGAGCCTCATCTCGAGGATTCTGTATGCTTTAGATAGATTTTAAAGCTCTTCTGACATGTAAGGTTTGCTGTTTCTTTTCTGTTGGATGTTGTGGTTTTGGACAGAACGAAGGAAGCATAACCTCTTGGGAAACATGGAGGGAGAAATTTATCTTAGGAAGAAGGGATTTTGGTTCTGAGCACCACCCTAACCACATGAAACACACAGTAAGGCTCGTGTATGGGTAAGGCTGCCAGCTTCGACACTAGCCTGGAAGACATGGCAGCTACTAAAATACAAAGCATAAATAAAAGGCCGACACTGAAGTCAGAGGATCGAATGGAGTCCTTGGTAGGGCCCTCAAAATTAGCAGAAGGTCCCATTTTGGGAAGACTGGACTGACCATCAGTCTGGATAATTGGACAGCTAGAAGGAATCTGACTACCTATGCACACTACTAAGAACAAATACCTAACACGCAATGGTACTGAAGGCTTCTGTCCATGCCTTCTTAGAGAAAGTCCAGAATGGTTGGAATTCCAGGATTTCCGGGATTTGCATTGTGCTATTGGTACCAGTTGTAGAATCTGGACCAGACAGAGGAGTACACGTTTAGTGTCACTGCTCTCCTAGATGAAAGCAATTACTTAATGACTCTGGAGGACAGACAGAGACCTTCTAGACCAAACCAGGACACCCCCCGTTCCCCGCAGTAAGCAGGCTGATAATCAGTCCTACTCGGGCATGGTCAATGGAATTCAATTGTGGGCACAGCAGACACAGGAGCTGATCCTATTTAGGAACCCATGACATTTTTTGCTAACACCATTGAACTTGTTAGGCAGAGAGAGCTCAGGCTCGTGAGAAGCAGGGAGTGGAGCGAACAGGGTGGCAGCTTGATCTTGCAGGACTGCATTCTGTGCCTCTAGGATGATAGCCTGGGCCTGCTAGGTCCTGCAAGGTCTGTAGGGTTCCCACTATCTTCATCAGAGAGATATTGGCCTTTGTAGAATCCATACTCACCGTATCAGCTCTTATTGTTTGTGTTGTGGGCTGCTCAAACCGTCACATGGCTGGGATGTGGGCAGTCATGCCTAGTGGTCGGAACAGGAGTCAGGCCTAGCGTTCAGAACAGGAGTTGGTTAACTGGAATCTGAGAGCAGGGTCAGAACCAGAGTCAGAGGCCAGACGTCAGAGGCCAGATGTCAGAGCTCAGGAATTGGAGCAGAGGGTCAGAACTGGGTTACCTGGAGTGTGGCAAGGCAGGGGCAAGACTGGATCCAATGCAGGAATAAGGCAGGGGCAGGACTGGAACAAGGAGGGAGCAAGACTGGGATAAAGCTGGTGAAAAAGCTATTGCAGCCATGGGCAAATGCTCTGAGGTAGTGCCTGGCAGCTTAGCCAGAAGCCATGGCTCATTCTGAGAACCTCATTGCATTCACTGAGGTGTCAGCTACAATCACTGTTGCTAGGGAGATATTCATTAAAATGGAGCCAAAGTCAGGGTGATCTCTCTCCTTAAGGGCTTTGTGATCTCCCAGCCAGGAGAGATGCTCTTGCAAAGCAGGCAGCTGCTCCCAGGGACGCTCGGAAGGTAGCAGAGGCGGCTTCAAAGTCTTGTTTGAGAATGGCCTCCATCTTCCTATCTGTGGGATTCATAGGGTAGAACTCCCCTTCTGAGGAGCTAACCGTATCCCTGTGGAGGGACCCTACAGCAGCATCAGTCTTTGGTATCTCAGCAATGGAGCCCTTTGGGTCTGGAATGTTATGGAGCCTGAGGTCACTCTTGTTAATGTGCTGGCCCTTAGCTGGCTTACCCCACTTACCCTACTCACCTCCTGGAAGGAAGAATGAAGGGGTATCACCGCCACTGGGGAGGGTTTTGAGGGAAGAAATTGACTCTGATGCTCACTCTCAGGTGCCTGCTGAGGTTGGGTTTGAATTGTGCAGATAACCTTGCTGCACATGGCTTGACATTTCTCCTGGAGAAAAAGTCTTTGCTGAGTTTTCCCCCAGGCTGTCTGGAGTCAGAGCCAGACATCTCACCTTCCGCAGGGAGCAGGGGGAGGAATCGGAGGACTTGGATCTTCTGGATTTTTTGTGCTTTTTTTCCCCCCCCTTCAGATTTTTTAATTTACTAATTTTCTATCCGCACTTTGGGAGCATAGAAGCTCTGCTGCGGCTTTGGGGAGGCTGCTCACGGCTTGTCTTCCTTAGGGCCTAGAGCCCTCTCGAGAGGTCTGGCTCTGAATCTTCCCGCACTGGTCCCACTCCCCCTGGGAGGCGGGGTTTGGGGAAACTCGTCAGACCCATCTGGACAGCTTGGGAGGGGGCTGATTAGAAGTACCGCTTCTTTCCCCATGGCACTCAGAACCCACTTTACGACTTGCTCTGCAAGAGGCCCCTGGGACTTATCCCCTTAGTCAAGTGGTCAGGGTTCTCCTTGTTTTTGGAACCTCTCCCTGTTCTGCCCTGGGGTTCCTGGTCCATTTTTCTCCCATTGGAGTCACAGATACTTTGGTGGGTAGGACCCCACTTGCCCGCCTGAAGCATAGCCTCAGGACCTAACAGAATTAGGGATGGAAGGCTGGGTGCAGGCTGAGCACAACTCATCATCTGCTCAGCCTGGGAAGGCTGCCTCACATATTGAACACTGCTTGGATTTGACCCAGTGCTCTTTTGGCCGCTTGGCCGTGCCTGTAAGGGGCAGAAGAGCCAGCAGGGAAACACTGCAGAGGAGGCTCAGGGAGGGTTAAAACTCCAAAGGGTTAATCAACCAGAGAGGAGGAGGAGAAACAACGAGGAGGGGGAACCCTGCTCCCCATTGCCCAAAAACTGGGCAGAAAAAGTTAAAACAGAAAAAAGTAAGGGCAGGTGCAATAGAAATCATCACTGTCTGCTGCCGCGGAGGCAGAGAATCCAGCAGCGAGCAGCAGTAGATGCGGGGTGGCCAGAGTGTGTGGCACCAAAACACTGATCCACCTCCACAAAGCTGCAGAGGCAGCCCAGACATCCAGAACTGAGAGAGATCCTGGACTGCAGAATTATAATAATTTTCCAACCCATTCCTTGTACTCCCTCAGTGTGCTTTTTGACCAACACTGCACACCCAGAAGAGATTCCCTCTCTCTCTCTCTCTCTCACACACACACACACTCTCTCTCTCTCTCTCTTGCTCTAATCAGGGCACCCCTTGCTGTCCCTCTCAGAATATTTTAGACATACTGGTACCCCCTCCTCTATTTCCAAGTATTTCATAGACCTCAGGTGCCTCCACTTTCCAAGAGCTGTGTGTATATATTTATGCTGTCCCTGAGCATCAAGCCCCGTGTTCTAAAAATCTCAGGGACCCTGAATTGGTTTTATCTGTCATATTTGTGCAGAACACCCACAGGAAATATAGAAAATTTTGTATGTTATTCCTGTTAAAGTTCTGGGGATGCAGCACTGTTGCCTTCATTTATCCTACCTGATTAGGTCTTCAAGAAGAAGAAACTCTGTCTCTCCTGGCTTTAGTCGGTCTGCAAGGACCTTGAGGGCTGACCTCAGCAAGTCACTATTTTCACGTTGAGAAAATCCACTCCTGGGGAAAAGAGAAGAGCCGCACAACATCATCAATATGACAAATTGGAGGAGGGGAAGAAATTAATGCCAGCTACACAATGGCTAAGATGCTGAGCTCTTTTAAATCTGTCTTCAAGAAGAAAAATAAAAGAAGTTTGGACAATTAGAACAGCTCTGTCCTACCTACAGGAAAAGAGGACATCAGAGAATACTTGAAAAAAAATGAGAATTTGGGTCACATGAAATTGCTTTAGCTTTTCTTGGCCATTAAAAGCATTATGCACACAGAACACAAAACTGGTCAGTGAAAGTTCATACCCTTGCTTCAGTGAGTGTGGTAAGTATTCAGCGAGCACTGCCTCACTTAGTATACCCCTTGTACGACAAAGGGTATTCCCACTGGAACTTAGCCAAAGAACTTCAGAGGACAGAATTTCTTAAAAATAAACAACCACCCCTTGGAAATTTCATTCAAATATTTTAGGGGAATGTTAAGGTTCATCATTAAGCACTTAAACTTTACTGAATGCCAAAGTTAGGGTTACCGTCATGCCCTTAATTCTGCCCCCTTCTGTGTATGCGTTGAATGACACATACTATTTTTCAACTAATACAATGTAACATCACTTTTCCCCCAACTACCTCAGATACATCCGTATCATCTTCCACCACTGCATATAACTCTATATATGCCCAACAAACATAGCCCATGAAATAAATTTATATACACAATGATCAGCAGAGCCATGTCTTATTCACTGTATACATTAAACGATACTAGGTTGCAGAAAAAAAGTTTCTATGATATTATATTGTATTATCTAAGCAACTGTAGAGGCCAAGTTTGGGTTGCGTGTGCAACTGTAGCTTTGGCATCTGCACCTCTGGCTTGAGTGCTTAATCATGCAATCATAACATTGAGTTTTTGTTGTTATCGTAAGGAATATGTATTTCTATTATAGCCATCATTATAGTATCTATGGACCAATTTTTCTCTCCTGTTGCCTGCATGCTGAGTAGTGAAGAGAGGGACTTACTGTTTTAGCTATTCCCAGATGTCTAGACAGACTGGAAAGCACAAAGATAGGTGTCTTACTTCTGCTGGCTTTAATCCACGATCTGTTAAAACCAGGTAATTGCCTTGGGACCCATTTCCAACATGGGATCTTAAATTACTGTAACCACGGTCAATCATCTATAGTTTCAATTTTTTATAGCTTGACTGAATTTACAGCAATTGTAATATAATATATAACTGTGATGGTGTCCCCCATAAGGCTTTATGGAAATATGCTTATGAATATATATGACATAACTGAAATATGTTCTATGCTACATATGACATGTAACATATCTATGTAAAGGTTATAATTTACTTAATTTATTAATTCTGTTTATATGCATGTATTATTTTTGTATTTAAAGTTATGACTATTGGCCGTGTACTGGCTTAATTTCTAAATAACCTTAGTAGAGCATTTGGTCAGTTCCTGGAGAAAGGAATTTGCAAAGTTAAGTGCCCAATTAAGAAGCACTTAAGGAACAATGCATCTTGGAATGCTTCAATTCACATAAAAAGTTTTTTTGGAGACATTTAAGATACCATGTGGGCAACGGCTTTTGCCTGTAAAAGCAGTGAGTTATGCATGGACATGTGACTTTAAAACTATTTTAAAGCTGGACTTTGCATAGGAGAGAGAAGGGGGTCCCCACCCACAAGAGAAAGTTTATTTAAGCCCGTGGGAGACCCCTCCATTTTGTTTTTAGCTGGCTAAGAAGATAGCCTCTCCACCCCCACAGATACCTAAAATAAACTGGAACAAAAAACAGCTGCACAGGTTGCAAATTACCCAGAAAGGCTGAACACTGGGCACTGTGAAAGTCTCTGTTAACTAAGAATCCCCTAAGCTAAGTGCATCCCAGTTTCAGTGAGCTGCAGAGGGGCGTGGCCAGCACAAGAACGCAGGAAAATGACTCAAAAAGAAAAGGAGTACTTGTGGCATCTTAGAGACTAACCAATTTATTTGAGCATAAGCTTTCGTGAGCTCACGAAAGCTTATGCTCAAATAAATTGGTTAGTCTCTAAGGTGCCACAAGTACTCCTTTTCTCTTTGCGAATACAGACTAACACGGCTGTTACTCTGAAACCAGGAAAATGACTGCCAGTGAAGTAATAAACTAAAGCTGGCTAGACTGAAAGCAAAAAAAAAAATTGACCATAAGAAACTAATAGAATTAAAGCAATTAAAAATTAATGCTGTGAAGGCAGAAACAGCCAGGGAGGAAACTGCCCACAAAAGAGCTGTGGAGGCAAAAACAGCCAGGATGGAGGCAGAAACCACCAGGGTGGAAGCTGCTCACAAGAGAGCTATAAAGGCAGAAGAGGCTGCCCACGAGAGAGCTATGGAGGCCCGGAGGGAGGCCCAGCAGCATGAACTGGCTGTTATAAAGTTGAAAAGACAAATCCCTCCAGCTGCTGGCTCCACTTCCCCAAAAATCCACAAATGGGAGCGACTGTGCCCCCAGTATGATGAATCCAGCAATGTTGCTGAATATTCCATCACCTTTGAAAAACTGTGCACCCTCCATGAGATCCCTGAAGACCACATTAATAACAAAATTAACTTGCAGAGCTCTAGACATATTCAATAAGATGCCTATTAATACTGCTTCAAACTATGGTAAATTTAAGAAACTGGTTTTGAAACAGTTACACCTGAAACCTACAGGGTTAAATTCAGGAGTCTTAAGAGGGGATCTGGATTAAGTATTATGGCTTATGCAAATAAAATGAAAGATTTGGTAGATAAGTGGGTGAGGGGGAAAAGCATCACAAGCTTGGAGGAAATGTGTGATTTGGTTACTCAGGAACAATTCCTGAATATGTGCAGTGATAATGTAAAACAGTATTTGTGGGACAAAAAAGTGAATGCAGTGGGTGAATTAGCTGGGTTTGCAGACTCTTCCGAGCAGTCACAAGCTGCAATTAAACACAAACCACTGGCAGAGGGGTGCAGGGTTGGGGGAAAGCAGAATCACCGTTTTACCCCTGGGAAAAAGGAGGCTGGGCGTTCGCCTCCCCATTCCCCTGTTACTCATCCCAAGTCTCCTGCACAAGCAGAGGAGCCCCAGAGGTGCTACCATTGTAAGTCCACCGAGCACCCGAGGGATAAGTGTCCCTTGCTGAGCAAAAGCAGGCAGCAAGTAACGCACAAGGCTGCTACTTCTCAAAGCCAGGCTGTGGCCTCTTTCCACACAGGATTTGTAAAGCTTGCTTCCACACAACCAAGCAATGAGCATATGCATGCTGTTAAAATCAATGGGGAAGTACTTCTTGGCTTGAGGGACAAAGGTGCTGAGATTTCTGTGATCAGGAGGGACCTGATTCAGGAGAAGGATTTATTGCCAGGTAAAATGGCAAAATGGTGGGAGTTACAAAGTCCTTGCACATTTAGCTAAAGTTCACATGCACACTAGTCATTTGCAGGCTGAAACTGTTGCAACAGTAGCACACAATTTTGCACCGTTTCTACTGGGGAATGATTTCTTTAATGTGGCAGAATCTGTCCCAGGGTTGGTTAGCAGTGAAAAGAAATCTTGTGCTAAAAGCCCGGGTGGGGGGTGGTGAAGTCACATGGACTGCTGGGGGAATAGAAGGGTGTCTCTTAGATTCCTCTGTAGCAGTAAAGAATGCAGCTCTCGGGGCAGGGATGGTTGTGGCCAGTTCCTGTAGCCCCCAAGGCAAGTCCTGGGGCGGGGGCTGGACAAAGCCAGCTTCTGTCCTGTAATCATCTGGGGGGGGGGGGGGGAAATGTACCACCTTGTAGCAGGGGGGCCACCCCAGCCGCTGACTGCCAGAAAGTTACAGGTCAGCAGAGGGCAGGGGTCGCCCCCCTGCCCTGGGGTGCACAAAAACATGTGTCCCAAAGGTGAAATTTGGGGTCCTGGTGACCACTGCTGTGGGAACAGTCCCCAAGAACTCAGGTTGAGCTTGCTTCCAGCTACAAAGTAAAAAGGGTAGAATTTTGCTGGCAGTGAAGGGTCTGTCATAGCTGGTAGCTGTGAGCCCATGGCTGGACCAGGGTCACCTTCCCTTTTGGGGGACACAGGGGTCCCTGACCCAGAGGGGAGCCCAGAGGGGGAAGCCCAGACAGAAGGAGGGGGGACCAGAAAATCCACCCACCTTTTGTGGGGAGGATCTTTCCCAGGAGGAGGGTCTGCATTTAAAATGACAGACCCCTCTCCTGTGGATCAGGTTTTAAGGAAAAACCACGGGTCAAATCTCCTGGAGGAGGGAGTCCATCCAATTGACCTGTTGGAAACAGCAAGTGCGGTGTCCAAAGGGGTTTTACCAATCCAAGGCACTCCATAAAAAAAAATGTTGTTCTTGCTACACTTGTAAAAGATAAAACGGTCTCTCCAAGACAGGAAGGAAAAATCTCTGCATGGGTAAAACTTCACAAGGGAGTGGGGTCCAGCCCAGAGAAATTCCAGAGGGAAGGGCCGAGGACAGGCATGGTTGCAGTACACCCTTTCCTTGCCAAAGCCTCAAACACATGCCTGAATTAAAAGCCTTCTCCAAAGAGGCAGAAGAATCTGCACCAGAGTGTCTACCAGAGGGCACAGAAAACTGGGAAAATGCAACAAACACTAAACAAGGCAAACTGAGTAAACAAAGCCTGTCCACCGTAGATTTGCTGTTAATCTTGTGTCTTTTGCTAATTCATCTATGGGATAAAACGAAGGAGTTAATACTAATGGTTAACCCTTTAAAGAGGTGGGACACACCTGATTTGTGGAAAAGATTGTTGTACATGCTAGGAATGGTGACAAAACAGCCCCACAAGCATGTTACTCTTCAGCCTATACCTGTAAACAGACTGGAGGCTTGGCACAGCAGCAAAAGCATAACAGGCCCATGCTGCTGTGTAGAACGGGAAACTGAGGCACACTGCCTCATGGCATTGGTGGCTAAATGCCAAAACACCTCCAATTTAACAGATATTGCTGTCGGCATTCTGTTAACAATATTACACCCCAACCTGTTTTCAGGCATCTGGGGACCAAAAACCCCAAAACTGGCTAGGACCCTTAGGAATAACATCATATGGTTTAAAGTGCTAAAAAGGAGTGTAACCAGAGACAAACAGGGATTTTACATGTACTGCCTCCGCCATGGACAGTGTCCAAGTCTCTGGCAGTAAGTTCAGGAGGAGGGTGTTATGGCGCCCCTCCATAAGGCTTTATGGAAATATGCTTACGAATATAGATGACATAACCAGGATATGTTCTATGCTACATATGCCATGTAACATAGCTATGTAAAGGTTATAATCTACTGAATCTATTAATCCTATTTGTATGCATGTATCATTTTTGTATTCAAAGTTATGTATATTGGCCATGTACTCGCTTGATTTCTAAATAACTGTAGTAGAGCATTTGGTCAGTTCCTGGAGAAAGGATTTCGCAAAGTGAAGTGCCCAATCAAGAAGCACTTAAGGAACAATGCATCTTGGAATGCTCCAATCCACATAAGAAGTCTTCCTGAAGACATTCAAGATACCATGTGGGCAATGGCTTCTGCCTGTAAAAACTGTAAGTCATCCATGGACATGTGATTTGCCCAGGTGACTCCAGAACTCCGTCTTGGAGCTGGACTTTGCATAGGAGAGAGGAGGGGGTCTCCATGCACAAGAGAAAGTCTTTTTAAGCTTGTGGAAGACCCCTCCATTTTGTCTTCAGATGGCTAAAGACAGAGCCTCTCCATTCCCAAGAAAGAAACTGGAACAAAGGACAATAACCACGGGGGGTGTGAGTGATTGCTGGACCCGGACTAGAAGGAGATTAGTCCGTAAAAGAAAGCTTACTGGAAATGGTGAGGTTTTGTCTGTATTCAGTTTTATTAGACATAGACTTGCAGGTTTTATTTTATTTTGCTTGGTAATTCACTTTGTTCTGTCTGTTACTACTTGAAATCACTTAAATCCTACTTTCTGTATTTAATAAAATCACTTTTTACTTATTAATTAACCCAGAGTATGTATTAATACTTGGGGGTGGGGAGGAACAGCTGTGCATATCTCTCTATCAGTGTTATAGAGGGCGAACAATTTATGAGTTTAACCTGTGTGAGCTCTCTACAGGGTAAAACAGATGTATTTAGGATTTGGACCCCACTGGGAGTTGGGCATCTGAGTGTTAAAGGCAGGAACACTTCTGTAAGCTGCTTTCAGTTAAGCCTACAGCTGTTAGGGGACGTGGTTCAGACCTGGGTCTGGGTTTGTAGCAAGCTAGCGGATCTGGCTCAAACCAGGCAGGGCACTGAAGTCCTAAGCTGGCAGGGCAGGAAAGCAGGAGCAGAAGTAGTCTGGGCACATCAGGTGGCAGTTCCCAGGGGGTTTCTAAGACCCAACCCGTCAAAATAACATTTTCTTAAAAGCCTGCATCACTGCAATTTGATGTTCTGCATGTGCTATTTGCTACATATGAGTCCTTCAGTGAAGAAGAACCCACACAAAAAGCAATAAACAGGTTTTGTTTATATACCCCTATGCACACGCCACTCCTTACACTCACCAAGCAAATAGGAGGCGAAAGACCTGCAGCAGCTGCTGATAACAAGAAGACAAAAGCTGGTGCTCCTGGATGTTCACTCGTGGTCCATCCACCACCTCCTCGTTTTCTGTAATTAGTGCCTAAAACACAGAACAAACTATTAATTAAATATTATTTCAAGAATTATCGTATGTCATTGCCCCTCCATTTCCATAAAATAAATGATATAAAACAAAAAACCCTTGAAAATTGTTAAAAATCAAGTTGCTGCCTTCTGACCTGGAAGTAATTGTGCATGTTCTCCATATGATTACACAGTGGTTTCAGCAGCTCGACTGCACACTGAGCAACTTCTTGAGATGATCTCTGACACAGATGGGAGAATCCAATGTTCCTACAGTCTTTCCCCTGCTGTGAACCCAAATATTTAAAGTCACTTCTTCATTAATAATTTATAGGAGCTCAAAGATACTATCACACCACCTGATGGAGAGAATAAAACTAACTCAGCTTGTGCAGTCCTGTTCAGTTTCACTCATTGGCAGGTACTAAGGATACAAAGCTGAAGTCCACAAAGTTTAAGATGGCCACAGCCACAGGGAGCCAGAACACCAAGTAGGAAGGAGCCAAAATGGTTGTAACATTTCTAATGCTTGAATTCTACTGGGAAAGTGAGATTGGGAAACGAATGGGGTCTTTTGTGAATACACAACATGTATGAGGTGAGAGATGCTGACAAACATGCTAAGCAACAGTGAAATGCAGAATTAGTCTGCAGGAGGACAGAGGGCATACATTAGTTATATTAATTATGGTACAATGAGATTCTCTGGTTTGCATTAGGAAACAGGGTAGATTGATTTAAATCAAAAGTCAGGAAGACTCGATTTAATCATGGATTTCTACATAAAAGTGCATTCTTGTTGGTTTTTATAACCTTAATACATATTCATCACAACTCAGAGATAGATGTAGGTTTCATTTTTAGAAGGTACACCCTATACATTTTTAAAGTGATTTTATTTTGAAAATTTTTCAGATTAGTTTTACAGCTATATCAGAAAATGAATGATTGTTTCGTTATTTCATTTACCAAAGGTAATTGAAGCAGATATTTATGAAGTTATTGGGAGGTGAACTATCTCCAATTCAACAGGTTAATCATTAATATTTGGAGGATTTTCTTGCCTTGCTGTATTAGGAGCAGAACATCACCAGACAGACATTTAAATTGTTTTATTTAACTAAAACAAAGACATTATGTATTCTGGATTTTTTTCTTCAACAGAAAACATATAATATTTTAACAAAACAAGCATATGAATTTTTGAATTTAGTTGAACATTCAAGTTTTTTAAAATCAGGTTTGTTTTTGTTAAAATTGTTTTATAGTTAAATGAAATATTTTTTAAAAAACAAAAATTAAATCAACTACGTCAGCCAGGTCAACATGAGAAACTAAAAATATTGGCTTCTGCAGCTATCTCAGTCGTCTTCACCTTCATTTTCCTGTTTGTTCATAATCTGGAAAATAAAAACAAGCTTTCCTGCTTTTTCAGGTCCCAAACGATTTCTCAATTTGGAATGAATTAGTCCAAAGGAAGAAAATATTCTTTCTCCACCAGCAGCAGAAGATACTGCTGTTAAAAGTGAGATTACCACTTCAACAGTCTCTGAATCCAAGTGCTTAAGTGACTTCCACCAGTTCACTGCTGTGACTTTCTTTAAAACCTCATCAGCAAACATATATTTCTTGAACGGTTCACTCTTAGCTCTGAAGTTTATTATAGTTGGCATTATGGAGGGTTGATTGCTGGATGTCCATGTCATAGCCAACTCCTCTTCTTCAGCAGTTAAGGTGTGACCCTGGTACCGAGTATTGAGAATATTTGCAAGAAAATGAGCTGGAGATAGTGCTTGCCCCATTCATTTTTTTAATGCTAGTAATTTAACTCTGTCATTGCATATTTCTCTCTTTAAGATCTCATTCAGTTACTTCCAAATTTCAACAGCGTCAGCAATAAAACAGCAATTTCCCTGCATTTTGTCCAAGACTACAGGAATAGGCTTCAGGGTACTCAGCATGTGTTCAACATTTCTCTTAAGCCCAATACTGAGAACTTTGGCTGTGACAGTGCCATCTATTTTTTCACGATTTTGTTCACAAACTGTCATCAGATTAGGCCAGTTCTTGATATAGTGCTCAGAACAGTCCACTACTGAGTTCCATCATACATCTTGTGGGAGAGTTAGCCTGCTTCCTCCCACTTTTTTCAGAGTAGCTGCTGCAAAGTGGTTGTTACAGAAGTATTTTACAATTTCAACAACATTAGTCTTTATTTCTGGAACACTGAAGTCTTTGGCTAGGAGGTGCATCAAATGAGCACTGCAACTGTATGTTATTAGCTTGGAACTCTCTTCACTCTCTTCTAAATTTCTTCTTATCTTGGATATATTTGCAGCATTGTCTGTGACCAAGCTGCGTACTAGACATTTGCATTTTTTTTCCACAGTTTATTATAGCTTTTACTGCTACTTCTTGTAAGTATTCTGCTGTGTGTGCATTTCCTGATGTATCAATTGTTTCTGTAAGGAAGACATTCCCTTCTTCTGTTATCACACAAGCACATACAACAGGATCATTGTGAACATTGCTCCACCCATCAAGACTCAGGTTAACAATTTCACCCTCTAGAGCTTTTGTACACTGCTCAATTTCTCTTTCATACATTTTATCCAGCAACCTGCCTGCGACATCTGCTCTGTTCTGTGAACTGTATCCTTGGTTTTAATGACTGAACCATGTTAATGAAGTGTGGGTTCTCAATCATACGAAAAGGAGAGTTTGTTGCATAAACAAACTGGGCAATGTTTTCATCGATTACCTCTTTTTGTAATCTGCTGGTTCTGATCACAAACTTATCTTTGGTTGTTTCTGGATGATGGAGACTGTATTTCTTTTTGCTACAGGTGATTACTGTGGCTCTGTGACATACATGATGTGACTGAAACACTATCATTGGCAGATAATTCTGAAACTATAGAAAACAATGGTGATCTTGAAGGTGGATAGTCTTCGGAATCCTGTATGTTGAGGATGGATTCTCCTAAACAAAATAAGTCAATGCAGTTATTCAATTATTATTACAATACTGCTCATTTAGTATTACTCATTGCATTCACTGACCCCCAGTACTACTGTGATGGTGCTCCCCATAAGGCTTTATGGAAATATGCTTACGAATATAGATGACATAACCAGGATCTGTTCTATGCTACATATGCCATGTAACATAGCTATGTAAAGGTTATGATTTACTGAATCTATTAATCCTATTTGTATGCATGTATCATTTTTGTATTCAAAGTTATGAATATTGGCCATGTACTCGCTTGATTTCTAAATAACCGTAGTAGAGCATTTGATCAGTTTCTGGAGAAAGGATTTCGCAAAGTGAAGTGCCCAATCAAGAAGCACTTAAGGAACAATGCATCTTGGAATGCTCAAATCCACATAAGAAGTCTTCCTGGAGATATTCAAGATACCATGTGGGCAATGGCTTCTGCCTGTAAAAACTGTAAGTCATCCATGGACATGTGATTTGCCCAGGTGACTCCAGAACTCCATCTTGGAGCTGGACTTTGCATAGGAGAGAGGAGGGAGTCTCCATGCACAAGAGAAAGTCTTTTTAAGCTTGTGGGAGACCCCTCCATTTTGTCTTCAGATGGCTAAAGACAGAGCCTCTCCATTCCCAAGAAAGAAACTGGAACAAAGGACAATAACCACGGGGGGTGTGAGTGATTGTTGGACCCGGACTAGAAGGAGATCAGTCTGTAAAAGGAAGCTTACTGGAACTGGTGAGGTTTTGTCTGTATTCAGTTTTATTAGACACAGATTTGCAGGTTTTATTTTATTTGCTTGGTAATTCACTTTGTTCTGTCTGTTACTACTTGAAATCACTTAAATCCTACTTTCTGTATTTAATAAAATCACTTTTTACTTATTAATTAACCCAGAGTATGTATTAATACTTGGGGGTGGGGAGGAACAGCTGTGCATATCTCTCTATCAGTGTTATAGAGGGCGAACAATTTATGAGTTTAACCTGTGTGAGCTCTCTACAGGGTAAAACAGATGTATTTAGGATTTGGACCCCACTGGGAGTTGGGCATCTGAGTGTTAAAGGCAGGAACACTTCTGTAAGCTGCTTTCAGTTAAGCCTACAGCTGTTAGGGGACGTGGTTCAGACCTGGGTCTGGGTTTGTAGCAAGCTAGCGGATCTGGCTCAAACCAGGCAGGGCACTGAAGTCCTAAGCTGGCAGGGAAGGAAAGCAGGAGCAGAAGTAGTCTGAGCACATCAGGTGGCAGCTCCCAAGCGGGTTTCTGTGATCCAACCCGTCACAACTACTTTCAAGGAGAAATTGTAAAAGGAAGATCTGCCTATTTCAGCTATTTCTTTTTTATCATAACTGCATCTAAAATGATAGTACCAGAGAGTAACAACTATATTTTTTGCTCAAACATGAGAATTCAAGAATAGTCCAGAAAGAAAATAGGCAGTCCTTAAGAAAGAAATATGAAATAAAAAAGTTTACCAACCTGAAGATCCTGCATGTTCAGAAATAATCCTTTCATCATCTTCAACACAGCTTTCTCCTGAGAAGGAACACTTCTCATGATGTTGTTTCATTCTAGCTACCAGGCCTTGCATTTCTTTGTTGCACTGTTTGCATTTTGCACGCATGCCTGTCTTACCCACAGGTAGAGGAACTTCATTAAAATATTCCCAAACTGGGTCTCTTTTCCAGCCTGCTGCCATTACAGGTTTTCCCTTCTAGTGAGAGAGTGGTATGGTAGATCTCAAATCAATAAAGGCTACAATCAGAAAGACATCAAGACTTCTGGAATATGCTGCTCAAACAGTTTCACATTTGTTTCTACTGCCTGTCCCTCCCTTCTCACATTTATCTCCAGACTTCTTCTCCTTGTCCAGATCTATTCTGACCCCAACAATCTTCTGTTCATTGAACTTTTTGAAACTTTGCACTTTTAGGGAGAGGTAAGGGATTGACTCTGTGTACACAAATTTGCAGAGGGACAATAGGGTTGAGGTCTGTTATTACCTCTAGACATTTATTTATTTATTTATTTTAAAACATTTCTGCTGTTAACAAACATGTTATCTCTGGAGACACAAATCCACAGTTTGAGAGCAGCAAAACCAAATATCTCTGATGGTATCTTCTAGCCTGAGCACTGAGTCCCATTGGGTAGATAGAAAGATTAACCTAAATAATCAATTCAGAAGCCCCTGGAATCCCATAAAATTTAGGTCCCTAATCCATGAATTATTGGAACTCATTTACAAAACTTTTCTTAAATATTACTTGACTATATTGTCTCATACTGT